GGGGGGGGGGTCGTGTGATAATAGCAGGCCCGGTAAAACGATCACCATCAACACTGCTTTACTGCAGTCGACGTTCGTCCTGCTTACCTCCTTAGAGCGACGGCGACGCCCTAAGCTATTACTTGTAGTGGATTTGATTCTTCAGCTTTTTTGAGGGGGTCGTTGATTTTTGTGTGAATTTTTCATGGTGACCCGAGACTCCGGCGCCCTTTTGGCTGTGGCGGTCACCCCTGACCTGTTGCTGTCCGACAGTTTTGCATGACCCGGTCTCAAACACCTCGCCACGCAACCACGCCTCGGCCAGCCCCAGCACCGGGGAAAGGGGGGAATACTACAGGTAGAATAATATACAGGACACAAAGCCATTAGCCCCCACTGCCTCCCGCTCCCTCCGCACAAGCGTCAGCCCTTTTAGCAACTGTGTGCGTGAGTGTGAAGGGGGGGGGGGTATTATACTGAAAAGGGAAGAAAAGAGGGAGCTGAAAAATATGCCACTTGCAAACGAGCGGCAAAAAGTACAGCACTCGTAAAGTACACCGTGGAGTGGAAAGTGAGTCGGACCACACAGAGAAGGAGAGTGTTCCGTGAGGGGCAACGACCTCCGCGTGACGTTACGTAACGGTGAAGTAGGGGGCGGGGCGGGGGGCGTCCCCCGCGAAATTAATCCAGCTCTGCGTCGCCTGCGAAACCTCGCTCCGAACACTGGGGCGGGGCGTGGCGGGGCGCGGCGGGGCGCGGCGGGGCGCGGCGGGGGCCGTATTGTCTCGCACGTCGTTACAGTCCTGGTCGCTTTTGCGTGCGCGCCTTTGTGCCCGTCCGTCGCAAAGCTTCCCCCACTGCAAACCCTCTTCTCTTATTCCCCTCTTAACCCTCAACACGCCCCCTCCTCTTCCCGAGAGGAGAGAGGACGGACTTCACGCTGTCACGTCGAACCCCTATGACTCGACCCGCACTAGCTTGTGTGTGTGTGTGTGTGTGTGTGTGTGTGTGTGTCTGTGTGTATGGTTGTGCGAGCGTGCGTGTGTTTTGTGTTTGTTCGTGTCCGTGTGCTATGCACAGGGCTGTAAAAGGACGAGGCGGTAAGCAGAGGAAGAAAGGGAACTTCCTGGACGGTAACTTCTATTTTCTCTCTGTCGCGGCCCGCCCCGGTATTCCGGATACTATCGATACTATTTGAAGAACTCAGCTTTTTGTTATTTTTTCGTGAGAGGGGGGGGGGGGGTGTTGTAGGTGGATGTAAACGATGTAGTTTTGCAAAAACACCCATTGGAAAGAACTGGACTGAGGCTACTTGAAAATGACTTGATTAGAAAACGCCTGCAGCATAGGCCACCATCCGCCTGCAAACACATGATAGGCCATCCGCACCACACCCCATCCTTGTAACTTGCCTACAACGAAGACTCGCAGGGTGCACCAAGTAAGCGAACACTTCTGGACTTTTGGAGCTGATCCCCACTCCGGACGCACACCTCTGGACGTGCCACAAGACGTGGAAGTGAGCGGCCAAGCCGGTCAGCAAGACCCCTTCGCCCTACGCCTTCTTCCCGAGCTGCTGAAGGACGCCTTTATGCCCGCCTGCTGCTGCTGTTGAGATGCCAGGAATGCTAGGCGAGGGGAGCAAGGGGCGCCCGGCCCCGCTGTGCTGCATTTCAGCGCCTCCGCGTTCGGTCCTAGGGCCCCCTCGCCGTGCCGTGCCATCCCAAGGGGGGAAACGGCCCCACGGCACCGGGGCCCGCGGTGAGGCGCGGTGGGGCACAAAACCGAACGGGCGTGGAGGAGAGGGGAAGGGGAGCTCTCCGCCCGCACCCGCACCCGCACGCCCCTCTACCCTCCACGGAAGAGTTGCCATGCCTCTGCCACTTTATTTTTACCCGCTTTGAAGGTTTACTCCAGGCCTAGGGGTGGGGCGGGGCGGGGCGGGGCCTACGGCTGCGGGCTGGCTGGACGAGCGCCCGCTGAGCCGCCCCGCGCTTCGCTCGCACCAGAATAGGCGCGCGGAGTGTGCTGCTAACGACCGTTGTTTGTACACGAACACAAATGAGACGTCGGGTCATATCTGTTGGCGAATGAGCGAACATTCGGTAAACGTGCATAATGGGGCGGGGGAGAAACAACTTAAGCGGCGCAGAATAGAAGGGAACGGGGGGATCACGTCCCCCATGTTGGCGCAGAACTTGAGACTTCAGCAAAGTTTCCTTCCATCCAGCGAGGCCAGCCGGGCAGCTGCGGGCAACAGGTCCCTTCGCGGCTTGGTGGTATGGCGTGCGTGAGCGCGGCACATCAAGAGCGCAAAGGAGCTGGGCGGGGCCGATCGCGTGGCGCGCGAGTGCAGCGCCAGTGGCCCACAGACCTCCTCGCCGCCGCGCCGGAGTAGTGCAAGAGGGCGCTCGGCGGGGAAACTATGTGACTCGTGCTGGTGAAGTGTGTGTGAGACGGGGACGAAAACTGGACCACATCGATCTGGATGAAGAGGGACGGCGGGCGCAGATGGTCTGAGGATGTGCTGGTACCAGGTGGCGAGGACGGGGAAGCGGATGGTAGTGGTGATAAGGAGCAGGGTGTGGGCACGTGTGCCCTCTTTACCTGTGTCTCTTCCAGAACACGACGAGCCTTTGGCGCAGCTCGTACGTCAGGTTGCTCATGGCTGGGTCGCGGGGGCCGCGCACGGGACCACCGGGGGGAACCGCGACCGACGCTGATCCGCACAACCGCGCAACCGCGACTCGCGACACACAACGCGCCCCGGAGCGGAGCTAGTGCGGGGCCGGCGCTGCTCGGGGACACGACCACGCCGACGCGGCGGCGCACGTCCAGAGTAAAGGGTGGGGCTAGGGCGTGGCGAGGCGTGGCGGGCGGGGCGGGGGTGCGGCAAGAACACCCTTCACACCCTCGCTGAACACCTGACGGGCTGATGGGCCTGATGGGCTCATGCGCACCGACCACTCGGCCCAGGCCCCGCCTCTCCCCGCCTGCCTGGCCCGTCCCTGGCGCTCTCCCTCCGCGCCGACCCCTTCTCCTCTCCCCCGCCCGCATCATCACTCTCCCTGTCTCTTCCAGAGCGGTCTGTCCTGAACCTCTCCCGCCGCCCTGCGGCCAGCTCCCCCCCGTGATCGTGATGGTGTGCATGCTCATCAACTTTGTGGCCACCCATAATTCACTGCTCGCACAGGGCCGAAGCTCATGGCTACTTTGAGCGTGCACGGATTTCGAAGCAGGCGAATCATATGCCAAGCGGTTGGGTCTGTTCGCCCGAGTGTCGCCCCTCTGCCGCTGGCCCTGCAGGCTGGCCAGACAAGCTGAGGGCGGAAGGGAAAGAAGGCGCGGGGGTGAAGCGCGGGTCCCGAGCCCCTGGCGGCCGCTGGCCACATGGGCGGGCCGGCCCGCGCCTGTGTATGACCGCGATTGATTTTTCGTGTTCGGGGCTTTTCAAAAGGCCTGGGGGCGGCACGGCGCATCCCAGCCCCGCCCGCGGCTAAAGTGACCAACACAAGCATACTCCAGCCTCTCGCGCCGCCGCCGCACCCGCTGCGGGTCGCGTTAGGCGAGGGGGCGTCCCATAGAGGGGAGGCACACACAGCTCATGACGACGGCAGGGCTGCAGCAGAGCAGCGGCAGGCCGACAACAACGACAGTAATGGCTTTCAGAGGCATTGGGAAACGAGAGACGTTGTAGTCGGCGCGCGGGTGGAGAGAAGGGAGATACAGAGGACGAAAAAGAAAACGAAGCGGCGAAATGGAGAAGAATAACACGCAGGAGGGAGGAGAGTGGGGAAGAGGGTGAGCGAGAGCGTAAGAGGCAGAGATGGGCGGGGCGGCGGCGCGGCCGGCCGGGCGCTTAGCGCTTAGCGGGTGCGTTGACTCTGCCGCGCCACCGGGGCCGGGCCGGGCGTCGCGATGTACAAACGTAATTTACGCTCTAAACGATCCTTCCTGACACCCCGGCCCGGCCGGCCCGACCCGACCCTCGGGCGGGCGCAGAGCACGGGGGTGTCCGCTTACAAACCGAGTGTGTGCCCAGGCAGCTACAGTGACCTCGTCACACAAAACGGGCCCACTTCTTGGCAAAACTTTTTCGACGTGCCCATATATCTCACGAGGGCGAGGCACCCTCCACTGCCGGGCTGCGCCCGTCGGCCCCTCGCTCTTGCGTGAGGGAGATAATAGCATTGAAAAAAGCGAGCTAAGTAATTCATGGTGGACCGTTTACTGTATTCAGGGGGGAAGACATCGGAAAAAAAGTACACAGCCAGATTATGGCAGCAAGATGTACTGATTGTGGTGTCATCTACAGAATATTGGCATGAGTGAAGAGTGATATCGCCGATCAATTTGAAGGTTAACACTTGCAACACTAAAGTGCCGTCTACTTTGCCATACAGAGGATTGAGTTGGCCAGCACTGTCCTTTTATTTTGCTCTGAAAACCCTGTATAAATGACATCACCCGCACATGGGGGTGTGGGTATTCGGTAAATACTGCATACATGTGCCGTACCGGGTGATTCAGAGAAGACGCAGGTGCAGGTGCGGGCGGGTTTGCATAGCCTCTCTGCCCGTACGAAGGCGGGTAGGCAAACCCGCCCGCGCCGGCGCGTCTTCTCTGAAACACCAGTACAGAGTCCGGGGTACTTTTACGCATGGCAGGCGTGCGAGCGCGTCGCCTCGGCCTCAAGAGACGAGGCTGGCCACTGGCCACCCGCTCTGTACCGTCTGTAAAGGCAATACACCACAGTGTTGCGGGTTTGCCTACCCGATCTGCCCGTAGGGCGCCATGGCTCCTTAGATATGGGAACCCGCAACACTAGGGAGTATTAGCCTTTACACTCGGAACAACAAACTATTGAGAACTGGGAACCACCCATGCCGGCGGAGTGTTATGGCAGTGTACAGGTTTACCACCCTCCGCCCACCCTCCGGCCACCCTCCGGCCACCCTCCGCACACCTCATGCCACCCCCTTCGGTCCGGCCCATGGGCCCATATCTCGTTTACGACCCAAGCCCCGCGCTCCGCAGCCCCTCCTAGACATGCACCTTGCGCAGCGCCTGCATGGCTCCACACGGCGCCCGAGCTGGGGCTGGGGCGGTGGGTCGGTGGGGAGGGGCGTGGGGCCGTTGGCAGCGGTAGGCAGCATAGTGAGCTGCACCGTACAAAACAAACACATCCAGATCAAAAGCGCTGATAGGAGGAGCGGCAAGTCGATTCTACCGGGGGAGGAAAGAGGACATGTCGGGTTGGGAATAATAAGGCTGCTAGGTTTCAAACGAGGTACAGTCGATTTACGAATACAAAATGGAAAATGACCGACGACCCAGCGGATATGATGTTCGGTTGTGTGGTATGGTGCATCTCACGACTGTCAGACCGAATACCCAATCCCCCATCCCTGCCTCCCCCAGGCACACACACCTGCCTTTGACTTGCCGACACGCTTCTCCTTGTCTGCCGCGGGCCGTCTTCCCCTCACCGCCAACAAGTTCCTCCCGAGCGGTCCATGCGGCGGTGGCGGTGGGGCAGTGGGCTCGGGAAGACGTCACTCCGCCTGTCACTGCGCGCACCGCGAGCGCCTCCGCCTCCCCTCCCTCCACTCCGCCGCCCAGCCTCCTTCCTCCACTTCCTCTGCTGCTAGGTGGGGCGGGGAGGGGTGAAGCGGGCAGGGGCGGGGCGGGTCTCTCTCCTCTTCAACCCTTGCGAGCCGCCCATCTGCGATGACAGGGGGCGGCAACAGACTGAATTTGCGGATTGCATGAAATCTAACTGGTTTTGAATAACACTTGTGTTATCTACGTAATCCAAACCGTACTACCCGTTTAAACTTTGCACACTTTGCTCACATTACTCGGCACATTCACAGATGGATGATGTAGCTGCTAAAGTTTCTAAAATGTCCCAACTTTGCACACCCATTGACACAAATTGCGACGTGCAATCTAATTAATGTGTCTAAACTCTGCACACTTGAACATATACATCAATTGACGTGCAATTGACGTGGAAGACATGATTTCCCAGTGCTCCCTCAGCTTAGCCCGCCGCCAAGCAAACTCAAAGCACGAGAGACGGGCGCCCTCCTCTCATGCTCAAACAGTGCAGTTGTCGTTGTCAACCAGAGGCGGCCAGCCTAGCCAAGCACCAAGCAGGGCCAAGCCAAGGGGGAGGGCGGCCGGCGCCGGCGCCGCCCCTCGATCCGCCCCCGCGCCAGTGCCGCCCCCAGCCCAGCAGTGGCGCGGGGGAGGGCGGGCAAGCGGCGCAAGCGGCGCGGGCCAGGCGCTTCCGACACGTGTCCCGGCCGCGGGGCGTCGGCCCCGGGCCTGGCGGAGTGCGGAGGGCTGCCAGCTTGGGCTTCCCTTCCCCCCGCGCCGTTCCCGAGCAGCGCGCCCCTCTGCGGGGCTCGGCACTACGAGTCGCGGCCGCAGCCGGGCCGGGCGCCACCGCCCGGGAGGCGGGCCGGCCGCCGCGCACACCTGTCCGGCCGCTGCCTACCCGGGGGTCCCCGGGCGCACCTAGCGCTCACGGGCCCGGGGCCGAGGCGCGCCAGGGCCGCGGGCGGGCGGGGCTTGCACGGCCGCACTCAGAGCAGCACCGGGCGGAAAAGGCTCATTTGCAGCGCGCACACTCGGGACGTGTGTCCCAGCCGCCCACCCCCTCCCGCGACCTGCCATACGCTTTTTGCATATCACGGTCACTGGGGCCCCCACGCCCCACGAGCTCGTCTCTGTCTGTCTGTCTCTGCCCCCACTAACTCAGACCACCACGAGGACGGAGGCAGATCCGACGTTATTTTGCGGCTGCAGGCTGCCGAGTGCCGAGCATCCATTACCGCGACTGATGGCGACGGAAACTCCCGTAGCACCGCGGCGCAGTGTGCGGTGGCCGGCAAGTGACCGGCGGGGCGGGAGTGGCGGACGGCGAGGAGGGCCGTGGCGTGGCCGTGGGGCGGAGAGTGCGGCAGCCGGCATGTGGCGGGCCGGTCCTGTGGTTCGCCTACTGTCTTGCGGAGCCTGAAGGGTCGAGGGTCGCAATCCTAAGGCACCCACCGCCCACCGCAGTGACCACATTGTTTAAGTTTTGGTTCGATTGCTCTCGGACTCAGGGTCCCAGAACCCAGCCCTGGGGAAATCAGACCAGATGAAAGTGTACGCAAGTGATATCCCCCTCGCCACTTTGGCTGGTAAGTGGACACTGTAAAATCAGATATCCAAAGGGCCATCGGAGCAATCCAAGGACGGGAGTAGGGAAAAAGGCATGGGGCGTCGTTGAATCGGTCCGATTGTCCTTGGGGTACTTGGACAGCAAGAAACGGTTTTTAGCGCGGACAGCGGACATAGCGGCATGCAAGAAATGGCTGGCAGGACCGAGGGCCTAAAGGCGAAGGAACCGTGGACCAGAAAATAAGACCAGAAAATAATCATCGAAAATTTTCGGAAGATTTCCAAAAATTTTATTCAACTCCTCCTCCCTATGCTTTTTCCTAGTTATCTCTGCAGCGTCGTTTTTCCCACGGCTGATATCGCAAAAGGAAAAGTTTTTTTGCGGAACAATCTTCGCGCGAGAGTGAAAGCGTGAGAGACAGAGAGAAAGAGAGAGAGAGAGAGAGCTGGTCGGGCCCTGCCAGCCGATAAGGAGGGATTGGGCAGTAAACACCACGCCCGGGACCGTCTCTCCTCTCACCCGGCCGCCTCACCGGGCTCCCGCTCTCCCCCGCACCCAAACCCGCTCGTAGTGGTTTCACCCGCCTTATTTTTACAGCTCTGGGGGCCTGATCCCGATCTGCCCCCCGGATCCCATGACCCCCGCCCAGAGGGAGATGGAAGCAGGGCTTTGGAGCCGAGCTGGGCGGGGGCGGCTATGGGAGGCCCAAATTGCCATAACGTGTTCCCAGCGCCCGCCTCGGAGCAGATGGGACAGGGTTGTGGCGGAGGGGAGTTGGCATAGGGGGTGGGCGCTGACTGCCTGCCTGCCCGACATGTCCAGTTAGAGGTTTGCTGGAGAGCGGGCCGCCCGAAGGGGCCTACTTACACAAACCCACCAACCCACATATGAAGGCTGTCTTTTGGTCCTCTCGGGAATGCAGAGCGGGGGCCCGATGGAGCCGCTGCGGCAAGGCTCAGTCCTCGACCCTCGTCACCAAATCAATAATTTCTCGAGCCACCCGCTCTGGTCGCGCATTCCCAGGGTGCGAAGATGCATGTGAAACGGAGCGCTGGTCCCAACTAGTTTCTGACCCTCGCTCACCTGCTGGACGCCTCGCTGAGGCTCGTCTCCTGGACTCCGCCATGCACGATCTCCTCGCTGACCACGCACCAGCTGACGCGCAGCTGGTTGCCTGGCGGTGGCTCCAGCCGAGGCTCGCGGTGATGCACCTGGGGCTGCGGCTGCGCCGCCTGCGGCTGGGGCGCTTCGTCAGACGACATGGTCGTCGAGCTACTGGTGGTACAGGTACCTGCCCGCTGTCTGTCCGCTCGAGCATTCGTCCACTGTCACTATTCCACGAGGGTTGCTGAGGGCGGTCACGGTCACATCACTTTCCCACCAAGCACACTACATTGTCGTCTTCGTTTTCGCTGTCGTTGACAACGTCGAGTCACACTTGGCCGGCACGGAACGAGCTCAATGACAACGTCTTTTCCTGCTGCGTTATGCGGTATAAGTTCAGAAGCACGGTGGGCGGAGGTAGCGGCAGCGCGCGGCGGCACGACAGACGCGCTCGTCCTGACCAGCGTCGTGGTGCTGGTTAGTGGTGGTGGTCCTCGTGCCCACCGTGCCCGTGCCGTCCCGTGGTGTGCCGCCCGAGCACTGCAGCGGGCACACGGCACTTCACTCCGCACCGAGGGACGAGCAGAAGGGCACACAGGGATAAACACGTACAGTAGATTGCGAGCGAGTGACAGGCAGGCAGGCAGACAGACAGACAGACAGACAGACAGACAGACAGACAGACAGACAGACAGACAGACAGACAGACAGACAGACAGCGAAGGGGGCAGGGCGGGGAGCAGAGAAGGAGGGGGGAGAGGGAAGGTTCGCGCGAGCGCATCGCGGCGAGAAAGGGAGAGGGGAGAAGAGAGGGCGGAGTGACGAAGGGGAGAGAAGTGTTCGGGGTCTCGCAGATAAAACTGCAACCACGCCCTGCGGGTTGTTAGGCCTTTGCAGGAGTCGTGCGCGTTGCTCCCAGGATTGTTTTAGTACTTTTTTTCTGGAGATATTTTGTGAACACTCATGGAGGCTGGAGAAAGGGCGGGTGTAAAATTGTGGAGACGCGTGCCGGGGCGTGCCGGTGCCGCCCGCGTACGGAGCCTTTAGCTGCTTAGCACCGCACCCGCACCTCATCCGCAGGAACAAAACTTTTCCCCTCCACCACGACAAACACGTACAAGTCGGGAGCCCCTCATTCGGAATCGCCGCAAGCAACCCCCAAGGGCGGGGTACTCCAGACCATCGCGTCGGGAGCCGTGCGGGGGGTGAGCCGGGCGCGGGGAGAGGCGGGGCTCAGCGGGACGCGACGCGCCAAACGTTGCAACTTGGCAGCGGCAAACTGGGGGGAGTAACGCCGTTTTACCGTCTCCGAGTGGTCGTAATCCCGCCATTCGAGACACTTGCGCCGCTGAGGGCGGTCCCCGCGCGCTCGGCCACGGCCGGAGGATGTAACGGGCGTGGCGGGGCGTGGCGGGGCGTGGCGGGGCGGGGAAGAGGGACTCCATCCGTTTCAGGAAGCCATATAGCCCGGGCGGGACAGGGTGTGTGGCGGGGTGGGCCGGGAGGATGTGTACTTCCACAGCTGCAGCACGTGTTGCCCCTAGGGTCGGCCAGAGCGGGGAGGCGAGTGAGATACCCCCCCCCCCCCAACAGAGAAGATATGCTAATTTATGCCCGCGCAAAGTTAGTTGCCTGCAGGTTGCTTGCACTGGGGCCTTTCTCTGCACGCACCGTCTTGCCGTCTTTGCCTATGCTCACAGGGGCCATGGCGCCTGACGGGCAGCCAACCCCATCCTCACTACGTTCAATCTGGGGTTGACGCAGATAAGCTGCTTCCCGACCCCGAGACTCTTCGCGACGGCGGAGGCCGCGAGTCCACTACTGTACTCACCACGGCGTCTCGTCCGTCTTGTGCGTCGTCGGCGTGATGGTGTCGTCGTCGTCCTCCTCGTCCAGGGTGAGCTCCTGGTCGAGGGGCAGCAGGCCGATCGAGCCGGACGGCAGCCGCGGCCCGAGCAGCCCGCTGCCCGCGCCCGACGACGTGGCCGGCGCGAGCGGCGCCGTGCCCGAGGTCGAGGCCTGCGTCATCTCCTCGATGTCCGAGTCGATGCCCTGGTCCAGGTCCAGGTAGAACGAGTCGCGCGAGTCGGACGAGTTGCGGCGTAGCTTGAGGCTGAGGTCCGGGGACGAGTCGTCCATCTTGCGGTGGTGGGTCATGGCGCCGGAGGCGAGGGGGCTCGCGGCCCCGGGCAGGGAGAGCTCAGCTGGCGACGGCGCTCGCCTCCGTCAGCACCCCGTCACGCCGCATCCTGCAGAACAGACAGAACATAATGTGGTGATCATTAGAGCGATGGAAGGCGGCGCCTTGGCGACACATAGAGGTCCTAAAGTTCACTCGCATTCTCACGTTCATGTTTGGGTTTTTTTGGTGGTGACTGCATGCGCTCGTGCGAGTGCGTGGGTGGGCGTCGGCGCGCGGTTATGCACGTGGTGCTGTATGACGCCTCGCGTGACGGGGGGCGCGGGGGCGCCCGGCTGCACACTATCGCCGCGTCCCACGGACCCACGGCAACGGCAAAGAACGGCATTATCATATTCGCGCCGTGAAATAAACTAAACGCCACCCGCGTGCGTGCGGCATCCGCCAAGTACGCGAAACACACACAAAAAAAGAAAAGGAATACTAACGCTCTCGTATGTTGGACGTGATAGAGGGAGCCGCACGCGCGGTGCCATACTGCGGAGAATATTTGCAGGTTATTCACAAGAAAATTTTCCAGGGGAAATGGTGTAGTAAATTTACGACAACAAATGACTTTAAATTTACAGAATTCTTATATAGCTGTACTTCTGGGCTAACAAAAATGGCTTATCACAAAAATTACGGCACCAATCGTGATTTTACGCTGAGTAAACAGGGAGATACTAACAAACATTGTTAATTAATAAAAATATTCTGTCGCAGTCAGGACGACCCCCGTCCGACCGTCATCTACCGTGTCCCCGCGGGCGCGGCTGGGGCTGCGTATCACTGGTTTCACTTCTCACTGCCGCCGCGCCGCCCTCGCGCGCCTTTGCCACCCTCCCACATCGTTTGTCGGCTGGCGTTTAGTCCGTCATATTTTCCAAAGGGACGTGTGAAATGGGGCGTGCGCGGGTGTACAGCACCCAGGGCGAAGGCGGGGCGGGAAGGTTTGTTCACATGAAGGGGCAGCCACCCGACGGGACGGCGGCGGAGCGGTGCCCCCTCCGGCCGGATCGGATAAGACGGGTGCGCGAAGCAAAAGGGCGTCATAATGGATGTCCGCTTCAGTATTTCACATACTTTTCCAGACTTCTCCAAGATCGCATCATCAAAGTACACTGTATTCCCAGATGTTCCCTCGAATTTAGCGGTTTTGAAACCCAAATGTATGAGCTATGCCAGACACGCACTTTGAATAAGCATTCACCGGACAACTAAGAGTCAAAATGAAATGAAAAGACACGGATACAAAATCGCCTCCTGCCATCCGAATATATGAAGACGGAAAATTCGGGAAAATTTGACTCAACTCAAAACTCGTCAAAAAGTACAGAGGCGGTTATTTCTCAGCTTTCTCGCGGTCGCCGCCGCCCGCCCTTACTGTCGGCGAGGCGAGCAGCAGTCAGTAGTGCACCCCGGCCGCAGCCCGGCGCGGCGCAGCCCACCCACGCGACACTAGTCGCGCGGCACGCGGCACAGATAGCGATCCGACCAATAATCCATGCGCTGCAGGCAGAGCCGGTCGGCCGGCCAGACCCAGCATGGCACGATAGGGAAGGATGGAAGCGGAAGACGACCAAGGCGATGTCGATGTAAGGCCGCGACACGGCCGCGGCGGCGGAGCTCGGTGGGTGGCGGCCGCGGCGGGGGAGCGAGCGAGAGGGGCACGGCGGGGGATGGTCTGGTCGAGGCGGAAGAGGGAGAAGGAGAGAGAAAGAGGGGTAAGTGGTAGAGGAGGAGAGCGTGAGGGGCGGGGGGTCGCGCTCGCCACGCTCCGCTTGCCCCGCACTGCGCGCCGCATTGTTCCGGGCGCGGCGGCGGCGAATCGACTTGACACAGCACAAGTACTACACTGGCTTTGTCACCCCCCCCCCCCCCCGGCGGCGTCCTGGGCCCGCGGGGCCGGGCCTCTGGGACGACGGGGCGAGACGGCGACGACTGGGTGACCCGCGCCCGCACCGCACCGCGCGCTCGAATGGATTGATACGGAGCTGGGCGTCGCGGCGTCGCGCCTGTCATCCATCTCTCAACCCCTGACAGCACCTTCCCTGCCCTGCCCTGCCCGCGGCTGCCACCCCCCAGCCTGCCTCCAGCTCTGCTCCCCCTTTGTGTTTGTCTCCACAGAAGAGCGCTTCTTGATCTCGTAACGAGTAGCGTGCAGCGCTCTTGTTGGAAGAGAAGAGCGCGAGAGAGGATAGCAACACGAACAGGCTTATACTCGGGCTGTTTACCTTTGTTATGAACCCCCACGAACGTCGACTAACTTCCGTGAACTTCATTGAAAATTATTGATAAACTTCAGCCAAACTTCTTTTGGAGCTTTCGTTGAAAGAGAGCTATACGACTTCGGCGTGTACATACATTTTTTTGATGTGTATTTCGCCTTGCACGAGTAGGGGTATGGGGTGGAAGGACCCAGCGTAAGAGCCCAGCTCGCAGCGGGTCCCGCGCGAGCGTCGCCCCAATGATTTAAAGGCGCCTTGGGCGCCAGCTCGACCAGCTTCTACGAGTCTAAATGGGAGATCGACGTTTCCGGGGTGGAGCGGAGACCAGGGGAATGGGGGGGGGGGGGGGGTACTGGTGGAGGAAGAGGAAGACGGGGATGGGGTTGAGGAAGAGGAAAAGGAGGATGTGGATGAGGATGAAGATGGGGAGGAAGAGGTTGAGGTTGAGATGAGGATTAGAATACGGAGGATAAAGGAGGAAAAGGATGACAACGAGTAAGGGGGGGGGGGCAGTGGGAAGTGGAGGCACCGAATGTCGTCTAGACTAGAGCGACCTAGTACAGCTCCCCCGCGGCGTGGCCGCCGTCCCCCGCGGGGGAGCCTGAGCCCTCAGGCCGCCTCAGGCCCTGTCCTGGCTATAGCTAGCTGCTGGTACTGACGGGAACAACAGCCCCCTCCCTTCCCTTTCCTCCTAGAGCGACGCCGCCGCCCTCGCGCCACTAGCAAGCTCTGTTGAGTCTGTTACAAAAGTGTGGCTACCATTTCGGAACAGGATCGGGATGAGATCTGGCGGGCAAATAAAGAACGGGGGGAGAGACCGGGAGAGACTCGCGCACTTGATATCCATTTCCATTCGGATTCGGCGGTACCCCGAAAAGAGTGAGAGAGATAAAGGGTTGAGAGGATGCGCGGGGTGGTCTCCAAATCAGTCGTAACCGTTGGGTACTCCTGCACATGGGCTGCCAAAACAGCGGGCGGTGGAGGGAGCGTTGGTACGGTGGAGCGTGGGCGACCGAAGAGAAGAGAGAGGGGTGGGTGGTGAAGCTGACTGGCCATGAGCGAGAGAGGGAGAGAGAGGGGGTGGGGAGGGTGGAGGGAGGAGAGATTTTGGGCCTCAGTCAGCCCATTCATTTGTCTAAGAGTGATTGGCTCC